GTGAACAGGTGAAAGTCGAACATTTTGCCATAATGCCTTTCAATTCAGCTCAACTTGACGATGAGAGAATAAGTATAATGTCACTTTAACATAGAGTCTGTCAATATTTTTACATATATGAGCCGCGTCACAACAAAACCAACATAGTGCGTTTGCGACCAGCATGGATCCAGACCAGCCTGCGCATCCGCGCAGTCTGATCAGGATCCATGCTGTTCGCTATCAGTTTCTCTACTTGTAATAGAGTTGGTAAGCGAACAGCATGGATCCTGATCAGACTGCGCGGATGTGCAGGCTGGTCTTGATCCATGCTGGTCGCAAACACACTATGTTGGTTTTGTCGTGACGCGGCTCATATTGTGATGTCACATACAATCTGTTGTCACAGTCAATATTTCTATATACATGTAGTTAACGTTTTCATATTATACATGTAAAAATGTATATTTTTGGGATAAGTAAGGACTGAACAGCGAATAATACAGACCATGATCAGACGTACGGTACGGTCTGTGTCGTTTGATCATGGTCGGTACTTCCAGTATATCTTGGCCAGCACTGTTGCCGCCAGCTACCAAAGGGTTTATTTCATCTGCCATGATGTTCAAGCCTAATTATAAAGCAGTATTTTATATATCTGTTCACGGTCAAGTACCTAGTTTGTGTTTTCCCCCATCTTTATAAATTTCTAAAAACTCTATATCAATTGAAGTTTGCTCTTCATTACTTCAACTGCTTTATGTTTAATGTAGTCATATAATTTTTTTTAAAATTATATTTCATCAAAATGCTGATCTTACTTCCCACAAGCATTATCTTCCGTATTATTATTTTAATAAATTCTAAATAGTTAAAGTGTTGACGTGTAACGTGACTTCCTGGTGAATGAAGTGGTTGACAATCACACAAATTAAAGTATTCCAAGTATCTACTTTAAAAATCTAGTATTTGCGTTGATAATTGTAGGCATATGCTATAAGATGAGAACTTGGCCGGTCTACATATACATGTATGCCTTTTACCATAATCCAGCAGACGTTTCTGAATGAACTTGTCCAGTTTATATTTCTGACACAGGCTGTTCTAAAATATCAAGCTGAACATTTTAAATTGGCCAGCCAATAATATAGACGCTGATATGGTGGTGGTATTGGTAGTTTTCACTACGGAACACAGCAGTAAGCCACATTGAATCTACCAGAGCACAGTTCAGCCACAGTTTCTTGGAAGGCAATCAAGCAGTGTAGCAGTACTAGTTGCTATCACTTTCGCAAGGTACTGGTGACTTATGTACATGCGAGAGTAGCGGTACAGTGCGAATAACTGTAGAAAGGATTTCATGATCAATCACATCGTAAGTGACCTGAACCGTCCGGGAATCGAACCCGGGTCGCCCGATTCACAGTTCGGCGCTCTACGTAATGAGCTAACCAGACGAATTTGGAGGCTGATATAAGAATAAGGCTAATGCACTTTCGGCTTCAGTAAGCTATGGGTAAATATCATCTGCTCCTTGATACATTTGTACAGCGAAATCCCTTAAATTAACATTGAACAGTTCAAAATTTTAAACAGTCGGAAATTACATTATTACGCAAAAAGGGTAAATGTACATGATGCGTATCTAATTAAAGTTTAATGTTAACTTGACAGAGAAAATTCCACAGCCAGATTGTGCCCTTATAACAAGAGGGTCTTTCATTACTTGTGAAAGATCGAACGCCATCTGTCGTCCAGCTAAGAACCATACTTCTGCACCAAGCACATGCACAAAGGTTAATTATTTTTTTTACTCTTTGAATGTAAAATAAGCGATTCTTTTATTTCAGTAACATTCATCACAAAGTTAACTAACTTTCTCTTAAAATAAATTGACGTTTGTAGCAATCAAAACAAACAATGTAGCTTATTTTTATCTTTGAATGAAATTGTAATTTATCAGTTGGTTTTGATTGAAATTTAAATCTCTGGGAATACGTTCCATTATTCGTCTTTGTTGAAGTTGCACCACGCATGCATTTCTAATCGATCGACATGAGCCTTTTTTGAAAAGATGTAATTTCGCATAAGAGATGCTTTGTGAAGATTTCCAATAAAGAGATTTATAGAATCAATTCTGTAATCGTTACATAATCCTGTTTTCTTTATAATAAAGTGACATGTGTGGTAGTTTTTTCCGTTCTTTGATATGTCGTTGGATTGCACTAAACGCATAACGTAGACACAATGGAGTCTGCAACCTTGAGTTATATCATAAATAATGGGTGGCCGTTATTAAAAATGAAGATTTACTATGTCATTGTGTCAAGAACAATTCTCAATTACAATATTACAGACAAATTATGCACAGAGTATGCAAAAATAATCAATTCTACCAGACAGAAAAAATGCAGCATTTCCATTTATCGCTTGTGTAATTGTGTGGACAAAATCCCCTGTATGTCGTTTAGCTACATGTCTTGAAAAAATCGCTGAATTGACAAAAATATAGCCAGAAATGTTGATTTGTCAAGCCTATGGATTCAGACACCCTGGCGAAAGGATTGTTCTGTGGTTTGTTTTGTGTATTAGTTACAGTGAAAATATGCTCTTATGAGTGTATCATAACCACAAGAATTGCAATATATTTTTAAAACGTAATGAGAATTTCAAATTTAAATGGTAATTATACACTACGTACACGCCATTGCCATGTATTATACTAGGTAACTTCGATATAATAACAAATGATGATAGTATTACAAATTTCAAGCATTCATTCGAGCGTATAAGTATTGTAAAGTCAATCCTATGACATCTGGGTTATTTTTCTCCACAATTAATAGTGAATTATAATAAATTAAGAACAGTGTAATTTTCGTCTATTTTGCCACACAACACCAAACTAGCGTATAAATCAACCATACATTATAGCTTTTCTACAGAGGACAGTGCCGCAGTTTTGGGGAAAATTACAGCAAAATATGTAGTCGTTGCGATGCCTATTCGTAATTTTTACAAATACTGAATGTTTTAAGTATCTCACTTATTCTCATTTTCACATGTACACTATGACCTTTGATATTAATGTATCGCTCAATTGTTTAATCAGGAAGGCATTTCAAGTGTATTTTGTCTTCCTTGTAAATGGTCTATAATTATAATAAACGACTTCCCCGCACTATTATCTATAAAAAGATCGTATTTATTCAGCATTATTGTCGTTTTTTCCCGTATTTTAAATATTCGTAAAGCGGTGAGTCGATAAAAGTTGGTCCAGGCCATATCGCCGCATTAACAGTGCAGAAACTGGCGTAATATGCCGAAATATTAGATCCTTAAGAGGAAGGTTCCCCTTGTAAATTAACTTACGCTTAGTTCTTTCTACAATACAGTTCAACCTCTATAAAGCAATAAACTTTGGAATACAAAATTTTGGTTGCTGCTTAGGGGTGCTGCTCTAAATAGGTTAAATCTTTTGCAAGGTCTTTTGAGAATAACTGATATAGTTGTTGTTGTGGGGGTTACTGCTCTACAGAGGTGCGCTTTTTACAGGTTGTACTGTAAATAAATGAACGGAAAGCCACAATCAAGCTTGCTTACGAGGCCAGTTAAGAGGCACGCCAACATAGACTATCTACACTGGCTAAGCTCTATCCCACTGTCCAGTTCTAATTGTACAGGTATATGTATTCCTAGAAAATTGAACATTCATACCAACATATGTTAATAAATGACATTAGAATCAGCAAGGAAACTGTCAATATAGAAAAATATATAATCAGTGTCCTTGTTCCCCACGACTGTAACGGTAAAGATGTAAATTATTATCAGTACCAAGTCTAAATTGATTCAGATAAGTGTCCATTTACGTACAACAACTGATAACTTAATGAACGTCCTTGAATGAAGTCAAGGTCACTGATATCTGTTTGGACATAACAGTTATACCCACTTAAATTTTATAGATAATTTCATTTTCGTCTATAAATATCTTTATTTTTTTTCCTGCGTTAATTTAATTCCCAACCCTGACGTCTCCATTAAAGGCAAAATACGATTTTAGTCCCGGAGCAAATTATTTTACGTTCTATAACGTGACACGCGCTTAATATTACACGTCAGCGTATCTTTTTGCCACGCCCCTCGTGACCCTAGTGACTTTATGACGTCGTAGTATCGAAGAATCACCATTTACTATGAATATCGTAAAAAACAATGTCCGCTTCCTCTTTCCTTTATACTAACAAGACTATCACCCTTTTATGAAGTGCTATATGATGTGTTGCACGTGATCTCTCGGACGTCAACGTCTACATTCATTCATTTACGAGACTTTCACAAAAGTACCCTGTTTCTGGAGATGAGTTTATGACAAATTTAAGAGTGACAGCAATTGTGCTGTATTCTTAAATCATGCTAGTTATAATGATGAGTTGTTTTATTAAAAGCTCAAATCATTCATACACGACTATAACACGTGTACATACTTTAAGCTATATAATAAGCTTAAATGTTAAAGGTCACTCGGGATTTATTTCATAAAGTATGTAAATCATTTTTGCTGCGTGACAAATTTACTCAATCTCCGATTACAAAAAAATAAACGAATAAAAAAGCAATGTTTTAACGTTACGTTACAACTATATCATTTATATATTTCCAAGCACTGACTAAGCCAACAAAACATTCAATCTCATGAATCTATTTTTAAAAGTACGGATTCTCTCTTTCTTCTACATATTAGAAAATTCTGTGGTTATTTGTTTTGTTCGTTAAACTGACGGAAAACACATTTTATGACTGCAAAATTAAACGCACATGTCGCAAGAAATATACGAGCATAACAACATGAAAGTACACTTACGTGATGCTGAATTGTAATTGCCTAGACAGACTGAATATCACACTTAAACGTAAATAAAATTATGTATATAAGACCTTGGTAAATTGAAACAAAATATCAATGTTAATATTGTGTTTATCCCGTGAGAATAAAAGGAGAACATAAACAAACTTACGATCAACTTTATCTTGTGAAGAGTATATTTCCTATTCGTTGTACAACTACAATGTAAATTTCCTTTATGAAAAATTGAAATAGAAGATATCCATCCAACTTCACATCAGCAACTGAGTCTCAACATGCTATCGGATAAAATGTGCGGGTTTACGAATTTTACCGGAATATGACGGAATATACCGAACGTCCGTTATCGCATTATTGACAGTAACTGCATACTGACACACATCTTGTCATAATAATAGCAAAACTAACCGCCCATTTGTATGTTCATTTTTTATGCAACATGATTTTTACAACTATACATTTTTTAAATACTCAGGAATGACTGAAAATATTTAACTTGATTTTACGATAATTTTAAATACCTTCTGTGTTGGTAGATATGAACGTTTATAATAAGATGCTATTCAGAATGATAAACTTCACTTTGCAAGAGATACGATATGGTGAAGTTTTTTTTTTATAAACTTGACCACAAAAAGGTGCGCCTCAACTTTCGCTTGTTAATTGATGGTAGTACGTGGGCAGACGAGAGTAATGTAAGAACGGGAATGTGTCCACGCGTTTTTGTATAGATGTATAAATAACCCTAGGGTCCACTATAATGAAGTTAAACCATTATTATAGCTTCGGAGTATCTTGTTTCATTATACCGCTCATCTTACATGTAAATTCAACAGTATTGTACTGTATGGTAGATATTGCATTTCACGAGACCTTGATTTAATTAAAATAGTTAAATTAGTGCGTGGCAATGCTACCATTCATCAACAAACAAAGTTAATTACAAATCAAATAACATATACATAACTTTTTGTCGTTTGCAAACAGTCGTCTGCAGTTTATGTAGTAGAACTGTCGTCTGCAAATTAAAACAGTAAATTCAGCGTGGAATCAAAAATAAAACACGACGCGAATGTCGTATGTTAAAATACGACATATTCCCCCTCCCCTATTTTTCTTTTTCTCCATTTATAGAGGCTTTATTGGTTGGAGAGGATGGGGTTATAAATCGTAGACAGCAATGCCCGTCAATGTTGCAACTTGAAAGTTACAACGTCCGTCTCGAAACTAAAAAATGTTGTAACTTGTATAGGTAAAACATGTCTGTCTCTAACTAAGAAAATATAAGATTTTCAAGATTTCAAGATTTTATTCCAAATACATGTGGGTATTATACCCATGAGCACACAGCATATATACAAACATACATACATACATACATAAACATAATATCAAGGTCATTAAACATATATAACATATATTTAGCATTTACTGTATATTTGAGTCATAAGTTTGCTTTAATATGAACAGAATAACATATTACAGCAAGGTTTAAATGAGGCACAGGTTTTACATAATGATATCAATTAAGTAACATTACATTTACCTTCCTAGGTACTATAATTTACGAATATTCAACATTTGTTCTTAATTCAAACATTTTAAAGATAAACATTGATAATTTTCTTATAATATTTTCATTTTGAGATGTTAACAATTCAATAAATTTTGGTATAATTGGTCCTTTTCAAAGATATTTATCTATAAGCTGTTTTCTCAAAACATTGTACTGTGGACATTTAATAATACATGAAATTTATCTTCTAGTTTTAAGCAAATATTACATTTTCTTTCATTATAAGGAATTGCTTCAGGTTTATGCCATCTACCAGTTTCTACTTTTAATCTATGCAAAGAAGTCCTGAAACGTGATAAAGATTTCCTAAAATTTTCAATATTAACCATTGACAGATATGATTTAAAACCAAAATCACAAAATAATACATTACTTCTTGCTCTTCATGAATCTCTTAGTGTTGCATACCAATTTTGTATAAATGTATCTGTTAATCTTTGTTTTACTACTGCTAAAAATATATTTATATCACCAACGCCCTGATTAATCCATACTTTATTGAAACCTAAAGATTGTAACAAAATCATAACAGACTTAGCCCAGGACATTGAATTCGGTTTAAGTTCTAAATCTCTACACATAAGATCATATACAACTCTGACATATTTTGTACTACTTAACTGAACAACTTTTAACCAGTATTTTATAACATTAATAGCTCTCATTGTTTTTAAAGATGTCCTTCCAAGTTCACCATAGATAAAATTGTTTTGTGTTTGTCTTTTAACTCCTAACAACTTCTTACAATACTTTAAATGAATGTTTTCTAATACATGACTATCAAGTAAACCCCATATTTGTGATCCATAGTTAAGAATTGGTAAAATATGTTTATGAAATAAATCCAGTTTATGTTTAACTGACATACAAGGGAATCTTATCAGCTCTTTTTCAAGTTTATATAACGCCTTCAATGCTTGTCCAGAGAGTGTTTCAAAAGTCATATTAAAAGATCCACCAACAGAAAAAACAATGCCTAGATATGTAAACTTTTTAACTATTTCAATTGACTGACCTTTATAATAAAAATTCAAATTCTGTCTAAGTCTACCCCCTTTTTTAAAAATCAAAACATTTGTCTTTGTACAGTTAACACTTAATTTCCACCTATCACAATATATTTCTAATAATCTTAATCCTTTTTGTAAGCCCTCCTCTGTTTCAGACATAATCACTATATCATCTGCATACAATAATAAAAATATCTTTGAAATACCTAAGTCAATACCTTCAAAACCATTTAACATAAAATATTCTTCTATATCATTTAAATACATAGAAAATAAAAACGGCGAAAGGGATTCGCCTTGTCTTACTCCCAAGTAACATACAAACTCTTCACTAATAGTATTATTGTATTTTACTCTTGATCTGACATTCTCATACATGGACCTAATAATATCTAACATTTTACCTCTCACTCCAAATTGAATTAATTTATACCAAATAACATCTCTTACCAAATAGTCAAAAGCTTTAGTGAAATCTACAAAAACAGCATACAACTTTTTATTATTATTTAATAAATGTGTTATAACACCATGTAATATAAAAACATTATCAATAGTGCTCATGTTTTTTCTGAAACATAAAGGATGTTATAACATGTAGGTTATGGTGTCCACAAAGAAAACATGAATAACTTGTAGGTAACAACCAATAAAATGGTAAACTTGTAGGTTACACTCCCTCTCTTAACCAATAAAATGGTATAACTTGAAGGTAACAGTGTCCGTCTCTAAACCAAGAAAATGGTATAACTTGAAGGTAACAGTGTCCGTCTCTAAACCATGAAAATGGTATAACTTGAAGGTAACAGTGTCCGTCTCTAGACCAAGAAAATGGTATAACTTGAAGGTAACAGTGTCCGTCTCTAAACCAAGAAAATGGTATAACTTGAAGGTAACAGTGTCCGTCTCTAAACCAAGAAAATGGTATAACTTGAAGGTAACAGTGTCCGTCTCTAAACCATGAAAATGGTATAACTTGAAGGTAACAGTGTCCGTCTCTAAACCAAGAAAATGGTATAACTTGAAGGTAACAGTGTCCGTCTCTAAACCATGAAAAATGGTATAACTTGAAGGTAACAGTGTCCGTCTCTAAACCATGAAAATGGTATAACTTGAAGGTAACAATGTCCGTCTCTAAACCAAGAAAATGGTATAACTTGAAGGTAACAGTGTCCGTCTCTAAACCAAGAAAATGGTATAACTTGAAGGTAACAGTGTCCGTCTCTAAACCAAGAAAATGGTATAATTCGGAGGTAACAGTGTCCGTCTCTAAACCAATAATGGTATAACTTGTAGGTAACAGTGTCCGTCTCTAAACCAAGAAAATGGTATAACTTGAAGGTAACAGTGTCCGTCTCTAAACCAATAATGGTATAACTTGAAGGTAACAGTGTCCGTCTCTAAGCAAAGAAAAAATGTAATAACTTGTAGGTAAGTAACACTTCCGTCCAAGAAAGTGATAAAACTTATAGCTGACAATGTTCGTCTGTAAACCAAGACAATGTTCTAATTTGTATAGGTAACAATGCCCTTCTCTAAACCAAGAAAATGGTATAACTTGTATGTAGGTAACAGGTCTTAGGTAACAGGTCTTGAAGGTCTCGTAACTAAGAAAACATTTTTGTAGGTAACGGTGTCCGTCTCGTATCCATGAAAATATTATAATTTTTGTAGGTAGTGTATGCCTCTAAACCCAGTAAATGTTACAACTGTAGGCAACAGTTCCCGTTGGTTTTAACCTTATAAATGTTACAACGATGTGTCTTTCATATGGTAAAAGAAGTGACTTTCAAAAATTGGACTTGGTTCTCTCTGCAATAGTAATGAATGAGCCCATTAAATAATGGAAGTGTAGAAATTGTCATTGAAGGCAGCACTCTTATTAGTACGAACTTTCCTCTGAGCAAACTTGTGTAAATACAATAAGAATACGTTAGATGATTATCACGTGAGGAAACTTGTGTAAATAGAATAAGAGTACGTTAGATGATTATCACGTGAAGAAACTTGTGTAAATAGAATAAGTGTACATTAGTTGATTATCACGTAAAGAAACTTGTGTAAATAGAATAAGTGTACGTTAGATGATTATCACGTGAGGAAACTTGTGTAAATAGAATAAGAGTACGTTAGTTGATTATCACGTAAAGAAACTTGTGTAAATAGAATAAGTGTACGTTAGATGATTATCACGTGAAGAAACTTGTGTAAATAGAATAAGTGTACGTTAGTTGATTATCACGTGAAGAAACTTGTGTAAATAGAATAAGAGTACGTTAGATGATTATCACGTGAAGAAACTTGTGTAAATAGAAACATAGCAGTAAGGTGGTTATCATGTGACAGAACGTGTGTAAATAGAATAAGAGTACGTTAGATGATTATCACGTGAAGAAACTTGTGTAAATAGAAACATAGCAGTAAGGTGGTTATCATGTGACAGAACGTGTGTAAATAGAATAAGAGTACGTTAGATGATTATCACGTGAAGAAACTTGGGTAAATAGAAACATAGCAGTAAGGTGGTTATCATGTGCAGAACGTGTGTAAATAGAAACATGGCAGTAAGGTGGTTATCATGTGACAGAACGTGTGTAAATAGAATAAGAGTACGTAAGAAAAGTATCACGTGAAGAAAGCACCATAGAATGTAAAATAATTGTCATATAACCAGGAAAACATAGTATTAATAGAAGTATTTTGCCTTCCATAAAAATACTAAA